CCTCGCCCGGCACGGCCGCTTGGACAGCTGGTCGCTGGTGTGTCGTGTCCATATTCAGTGTCGCCTGCGCACGACCTGCTCCAGCGTTCCCCAGTGCCCACCCCGGTACCCCACATCGCCCACCGACCGTGTACTTGTGCTGGGGGACCGGTTGCCTTGTGTTTTGCGCCCCAGCGCGGGCAAAAACTTTGGCGTCGCCCCCGCCGGTGGTCCCGGGGAGCTGGCGCCCCGCAGCGGACGCGCACGAGGGGGCGCGGGACCCCGCAGCCCGCGTCCGGCGCCGGCTGGGGCGCGGCCCCCGGCCTCCGTCACCTTTCGCTGTGTCTTTCTCTTTCTCCCCCTTTGCACTAAGCGTTTCTCACTTCTCATTCGTTCGCCGAACCCTCCCGCCTTTACGGTTGAAAAACCAGACACACGGGTATCTGGGGCACCGGCCGCCGGGTTGGGGTTCAGATCGGCCTCCCGCTCACCTGAGGGGGTTGGGCAGCGCCCGAGGGCCAGGGCGGGGTGGGCGTGGCTGTGCTGGAAAACCTTGGGATCCTTTTTCCCTAGGCTGAGCCTGAGGTAAGCCAAACGTTTCCCCTTCTCCGAGGCCGCAGGAGCAGGGCTGGGCTACAAAGAGGAGCTGTGCCTGCAGTGGGGTGCCATCTTTGCGCCTGAAAGGCCATTGAAATAAAAATTTTGGAAAAATGCTTCCAGTGTATTTTAGTGTGGACAAAATGTGCTAACACGGCGCCCATGACTTGTGAAAATGTAAGTGCTTGATGTGATTTTTTTCAAGCAGCTTTAGATGGGGGCAAAGGGGCACCGAGGTAAGACCTTCAGCAAAGGGGTTTTGGCGACCGGAAGAAATCGTTTGCAAGGCCTTGTGTTGGCATATGACGGGGCTGGGGGCTCCCCAGGGCCTCTGCCTCCCGCCTTCTGCAGGCGCTGGGTCCCCAGCGCCAGGCCTTGTCCTTGAGCTAGGCAGGTGACAGTCACCACAAGCGCTGGCCTGGGTGTGGCCTGGATGAGCATTTCCAAGGTGACTCCTGTCTCCTTTGCTCCATCCCCTTCTCTGAGACCTTTCTAGGGATTTTCAGATCGCAGCCCCGGGGCTCTGCCTGTGGTGCTGCCTGCGGCCGTGGGCTGCCTGCCACCGTGCAGCCTCCGTCCTCACACTTGAGAGGTGGCGGTCATTTATCTATGCCCACCCAGGGGGACAGGCCCCGTCCCTCCGCATACAGAGGGAGGTGGCTTTACCCGCAGCTGGCCAGCGCTCTCCAGCCTCAGGCCTCCGCGGCAGTGTCGCCTGCAGGACACCGGTCTGCACAGCATAGCCGCTGGGCCAGCGTGTGATGGGGAGGCCGCTGGGGCCAGTCGTGAGGGGGCAGCACCCCGGCGCCTCCCCAGCAGCGCTCTTACTCACTGGGGCCTCAGTTTCCCCATCTGTGAAGTACAGCTGCCCCACCCCACCAGGGTGGCCTTTACTGCAGTCTAGAGTCCTCCCCTGAGGGGTGAGGAGGCGGGCGCAGTCTGGTTTCCCCGTAGATGACGCTGGGTGACCCCGGGAACTGTCGGTGCGGGTGCCAAGCATGGACATACTGCCAGTTCCCCTGGGTTTGCGTCGGAGGGGGCTGACCTTCAGAGAAGGAAGTCTGCGGGGTCACCTGGCCTCGGCTGACCCTGCACCAGGCTGTGGGCGGCAGCGACAGGAGGCGCTGGCACCGGGCCAGCCTGGTAGAGGCCAGGGGCGGTTGTCACCCGGCTCCGTCTTGCCAAAGTGAGGAGACAGGTACCTCTTGGGGGTCTGAGCTACTGATCGGAGAGGGGCGAGGAGAAAGGCGAGCGCCCCTCCCGGGCGGGGCTGTCCCCGACATGCTAGCCAGGACACCCTGCAGGCCTTGGGCCGCAGACGCAGACCCAGTCACCTGGCTCTGGTGTGGCCCCACCTTGGGGGCAGTGGCTGGACCCCCCGTTTTCACTGCCCTGTGGCCCCACCAGAGAGGGGTCGATTCAGAGCCGAAGCCTTCTCCTTATTCTACACCCTGATAATAGGCTGTGCGCGTCTTAGGTGCCCTTCAAATGATTTGGAGACTTGGGCTCATTTTCAGAAACCTAATTTGGGTGTGAATCCTTTTTTTTGAGAACTAAGGCAAAGGTAACTGCTGCATTCGAATTTCTTAGTAGTTGCGTGTTTACTGGAACTGCAACGCCACCTACATGGTGGCACTCTGCGGTCCAGTCAGTCCCACAGTGCGCCTCGATTGCACGGTCGCTCATTTATGCCACCAGGTGCCCCGGAGATGCAGCGAGCCCCATCTTGTTGCGGGGGGCCTTTTTTTTTTTTTTCAACACGTTTATTTGTTCACTTAGAACTGGTTACACCACAGGGTGCTGGGAAGTGAAAGGTCCAGTCAGTCCCACAGTGCGCCTCGATTGCACGGTCGCTCATTTATGCCACCAGGTGCCCCGGAGATGCAGCGAGCCCCATCTTGTTGCGGGGGGCCTTTTTTTTTTTTTTTTTTTTTTTTCCCAACACGGCCATTTTCCTGTATTCAAAATGTCTCCACTGAGCACTTGGTGCTGACGGAAGGGCTTGGTTTCCTGGGCCACAACATTTTCAGAATCAAGTGGAACTTGTAGGACTTTCCATTTGCTGAAATATTGCATGCGCTCAGAATCCAGCTTCTTCCTTTTAAAATCCAATTTCTCTCCAGCAATTCCTTTTTATCCAGGCAGTTTAATTTTTATGACTGACCTTCCACACACACACCTCGGCCGTGTGTGCTCACAATGGCAAGCGGGTATCAAGAAAAGTAGGAACCACCCCCTTTTCGTATGTCCCCCCCAACCGGAAGGAGAGCCTGGCTACTGCGGGTGACGACTGAGCAGCCGCTGCAAATGGCCACACATAACAGCAGCGCATTCTGAGGTTGGCAAAGCTTTTAGTCTCGTTACGTGTGTTCTTTGAAACAGACTTGGGCAATAAGAACGTGATAGGACCCCCCCTTGCGTAGGCGAGTCACCCCAAAACTCAGCGACTACACATCAGGGAACTTTGCTCGGAGATTGCAAGATAAGTGGGGGGGTCACGTGTTCCCGATTCACGTGAAAACTGACCACGACTCCCTAAAACTCGTGGTAAGAAGCGCAAAAGCTTTATGTAAGTGTAAAGCGTGATTATGCTAAGTGTCCGCTGCGGCCTTGAAATCCCTCGCCCAGTGACGTGGCCAGTGGGCTCTGCTCTCAGAATTACAGCCACTCCCGGCCGGCCCTGGGCCCTGAGTGTCCGCCGAGGTGCGGGCGTGGAGTGACGTGGCCAGTGGGCTCTGCTCTCAGAATTACAGCCACTCCCGGCCGGCCCTGGGCCCTGAGTGTCCGCCGAGGTGCGGGCGTGGGCTGTCCGCCTGAGACGCCTGCGCGCGCGGCCACCCGGAGTTTCCACACCTGCTCTGACGCACCTGCTCTCCGGACTTTTCTTTTGCTTGCAGGTTTTCTTTAAAGCGTCTTAAGAGTCCTGGGGTGGGCGGCGGCGGCGTCTTTAGCAGGCCTAGCGTGCCCCCCTAACTCGGCTCTCGCTGAGTGTGCTAACTTCAAAACGCAGTTGCTTCATCCCCAGCTGCCCATACTCGAGGGTCCGAGTGTCCGAGGCCGACGAGCAACCTGACCGAATGACCCTATTACAGTGCCGCTTGCCGGCCGTTCGTACGGTGATTATTTCTGAAAACTGTTCCTCACCTTGCGTCTGGGCTAGTTCCTACTTGAGTGAGTCAGCGAATAATCTCACAAATCACCTTTGGCTTCTATATCGGAGGTGGACATTAAGTTTCAAAAGCCCAGATCAAACCTTTTCTTTTCCGCAATCAGCTGCCTGGTACCTGGGAGCCCCTCCCCTTACTGCGCTTTCCAGATGCCCAAGAAAACTCGGTCCTCACCCCTCTCGAGGCTGCGTCAGTGGCTTC